TGTGTGTGTGTGTGTGTGTGTGTGTGTGTGTGTGTGTGTGTGTTCCTGCGTGCGTATATGCATCTGTGCGCTCGCTAACGTGTGTGACAAAAATAACATGCTTACGCATTCGTGAAGTTGTCGGTGATATTCGCGAAATAGTAAATATTATGTGAGCGAAAATCATCGAGACAATTAAATTATTTAAATAACTCGCAATGCATTCTTTCTCAACAGATCTCAAGTCCCAAAGCCATCGGCATGTTAGTAATAGCTACAACACCAGGGGGCGCTTTCTCGAATATGTTCAGCTACTGGAGTGATGGCGATGTTCCCTTAAGGTACCCAATAGCGATGAGGGACGATCGTCGAGAAACGAAAACTTAACGATAAAACTTTACTTAAAGTGAACTAAAACTTAAACAATTTTAAATTGAACTTAACCTTTTAATTCCAACTTAAACTTAGACTTTTCAATTTAAACTTAAATTTAAACCTTTTAACTTAAACCTTTTAACTTAAACATAAACTGTTTAGCATAAACTTTAACTTTAACTTCAACTTTTTTAAACTCAAACTGAATGCCGACTTTAATAGTTATCAAATCGTTAAACAATTACGTCATTAATTCAAAAACGAATCATTCTATTACCATTTCTCTCTGCAAATTTGCTAGCTTCATTTAATTAATTTTGACTAAGCTGCCCAGGTAATACGGGTAGATATTTGGTTATTTGTTGCATATTTGATACACATGATGCACCTCTGTTATATATCGTATGTCTTCTTTTCAGTGTGTGCATGACGGGTGTATCGACATTAGCAGCTATGGGCATGATGCCACTAAACCTACTCATCTACGGACGTTTTTGGTCATCTGCTGGCTTCTCTATACCGTACTCGACTATGGCTCTAGGCATGCTGTCACTTATCATCCCCGTAGTTGTCGGTATGCTCATCAAACGATTCCTCCCAAAACTGGCTCCGTATGTGACCAAGGTATGGACACTTCTAAATTCTATGTATAAATTATTAATCAATTATAATAAGATATATTAATAATTAATAATTAATAAAATAAAAAATAAAAAATAAATAAATAATAATATAATAATAATG